ACGAAGTATTGATAGTATTAATAGTTGGCTTGATTGTGGACTAACTCCCACATATGAATTTGAATCACCTGATGAAGGAGCATTAGTCAAAGCTGCTTCTTTGTATGGTTATAAATTGGCCAATCGTACACCAGAGCAAATTTTTTTTGCAACACCTTCTGGTGAGATAAAAGTATTTGACATACTTCATATACTTCAATTTGATTCTCAGAGAAAAAGAATGTCTGTTATAGTCAGAGATGATGCTGGTCTCATTAAAGTTTATAGCAAAGGTGCTGATTCAGCATTTCTAAACTTTTTGAAGGAAGGTCAAGGTAGAATATATATAGATGATTTCTCTATAAAATTGTTTTTTTATATAAAGATTGCTTTTTTAATCTTTTTTTTCATGTAAATATTGTTTACGATTTCTGTTTTTTAGAGAAAATTCAAACAGTTACAGATCAGCATTTAGAAGAGTTTGCTAAGGAGGGTTTACGAACTTTATGCATTGCTAAAAGGGTTGGTCTTTCTGCAAAAATAATCAAAATTAATTTGGGTGTTGATTCTATTTTTTAGATATTGCATTTTTATAAAATTTTATAGGATCTTACAACTGAGCAATATAACAGTTGGTTAGAAAAGCGTCATCTGGCTGAAAGATCACTGACAAATCGTCATACACTACTTGCCTCTTCTGCTGAACTTATAGAAACAGACTTTCAGCTACTGGGTGCAACAGGTAGTCCATAGTAACATTTTTTATTTTCAATATTTATTGTTTAAAAATAGATACTGAATAACATATATACAGGCCTTGGTAGGAAGCAAGAGCTTTAAATCTCGCTCTTGCCCACACTCCCCTAAAATTGTTTATGGGAGCAATTAAAGGCTATCGCAAAAGTATAGTTTTTTTTTTTCAAAAGTATAATTATCATTGTAACTAAAATGAAAAATACAAAGCCATGTCTATAAAATTTATTTGCATAATAAACTGCAATTCTTTTTAAAAGGCAGGGTTGTTGCAAAAGAAAATGAAAAAGAAAAAAAAAAAAAAAAAGGCAGATGCAAATGTTTTTGATTAGATTAAACTAACTCATAAATATAAAATTATTACTCTCTAAATTATTGCATAATAATTTTTATTATATATATATGTATGTATATATATATATATATATATATATATATATATATATATATATATATATATATATATATATATATATATATATATATATATATATATATATATATATATATATATATGTATATATATATATATGTTTTTAAACATCTTTGCTTCCAACAAGGCTGCAAGCAACCACTAATTAGTGTTAGAAGTTACTGGAAGAGAAAAGGTGAAGATTGTAGAGCAAGATAACAATTGACAGATGACTTAAAAGATTGCAAATTATATGAATCAGGATAACAAGATGAAAGAAGCGAATTTCAAAGAACTGATATTCGAGAAAAAAAACTAGAGGAATAAGAGTTTTTGGAGCACTTAGGAACAGTCACAGTAAAAGGATGAGACTTAATTGATTGACAAGTAACACAAGAATAAATTTTAGTAGATGGCCCAAGAGATGCTAGCTCTTTAGAGCAGTGCCCATTATAGTGTTTGTAGAAAAGAGAAAGAGAAGCAACATTGTTTACAATGTGTGTTTGCACCTTGTCTAAAAGAGAAAGGGCATCATTAGAAGATCCGCCACCAAGACTATAAAAGGTATGTTGTCCAGGCCACAAGCTGTAGAAGAGTCTAAACAGGAAATCACTTTAGGAGTGATACAATTGTCAAGCAATGGATCAACCTGTTTAACTGCTTTATCAGATACAATGCAACTAGTGGAATCAAGAGATGATATTGATGAAAAGTTCTTAGCAAATAATTCAGCTTTGTCTTTAGGTGAGATGACAAAGTCTGAACCATAAAAAAGAGGTAGAATTACAGACTTGCCCTTATTATTAGTACTATTAAAGATTCTCCAGAAGTCACAAGAGCCTAATTTTTGTGATGAAATACAAGATTTCACGAGAATAGCGGGCTTTGGCATTAGAAAAAACTTTTTTACAATGGTTCCTAGCAGTATTAAACAGACGTCTGTTTTCTGGAGAATTGTTTTGCTGATAGATATGGAAGTAATGGTTTCGATTGGTGGTTGCAGCAGCACAATGTGAAGAAAACCTTGGAGAAGAGTGAGGCATGACCTGGAATTGTTGACCAAAACTTTAAAATAATAATGTTTTTATAATATTAAGTGAACTCTTTTAAATAAAAAAAAACTTACATCTAATGATCGTTTAGTAAAAACTAACTTTATTTAAATTATCAAAAAGTATTTTTTAAAAAAGTTTATTGAAACCCATTCATTATCGTTGTTGTTTATAAAATTAAGAATACAATGTGTTTAAAAAAAAATTATTATTAAAAAAAAAAAAAAACTTGAAATAAACTTATAAAATAACTTTTGAAATAAATAAAAGTTTTATTTAACATTCCATGATAATTTTTTTTAATAAGGTTTGTTTAAAAGCATCTAAATGTAAAAAAAAAAATATATAAAAGTTTACATTAATAATAAAAAAAATTAATAATAACTTTGTTATGTTTTCGACTATCAAATTGTTTTAAAAACACCCATTGTAAAAAATATACTTTTTATTCTTTTGATAATTTATATTAATGTTTTTTATAGCATACAATCTTAAAAAGCAATTTTTCGCCTTATTACCTTAAATTAAATCTTATTATCGCCTTATTATTAATCTTAAATTTTATCACCTTATTATTAATCTTAAATTAAATTTTATTGCCTTATTATTAATTAATCGCCTTGTTATTATTATTAATCTTAAATTAAATTTTATCGCCTTATTATTAAATCTATCCTAAATTTATCTTAAATTAAATCTTATTATCGCCTTATTATTATCGTCTTATTATTATTATCGCCTTATTACCTTAAAAAAAATCTCGCCTCTTTTTTTTCAAAAATTTATATTCAAGAATTTGTATGTATGTATAAATATATACATACATACATTTGTATGTATGTATATAACTAACATACATTTGTTAATTTATGTATGGTAGTTTATATATATTTTATATGTATTAATTTATATGTATGTTAATTTATAATTATAAACTTATTTTTAATAAAGATTTTTTGCTATAAATTAAGCTATAGAAGATAGACTTCAAGATGGAGTTCCAGAAACAATCGCCAGTTTACGCTATGCTGGAATTAAAGTATGGATTCTTACAGGTGATAAACAGGTAAATTATGAGTTTTACATTTTATGAATAATTAATTTTTTGAATTGTAAAGGTGAAAATTTTGTTTCTTAAACTAATGTGTAAAATTGACTATGTAAGCCAGTTTGGTAATGGTGGTCTGATGGTAGTGATGTAAACTAGGCAAACATAGTTATTTTGACATAGTTATATTGTCAAAATATTCCCTGCTAATATTTGTTTTTATTATCATTTCTTTTAAAAATTTTCACACTCAAAAAAATAGTGAAAAATATTTACAAAAAGATCTTGATTTATGTTAAATTGACTCCCTTTAGTAAACTAACTAAACTAAAAAATTGTTTCTTTACTGTGTTAGAAACACAGGTTTACCTAATTGATTACATAAACACGCCAATAATAAAAATACTTCTAACTATATATATATATATATATATATATATATATATATATATATATATATATATATATATATATATATATATATATATATATATATATATATATATATATATATATATATATATATATATTTACAATTAACAAAACAATAATTGTTATAAAAGAAAAAAGTATATCTTTAAACAAAAATTACTTACAAACAAAACATTACAAAAGTTGTTTTTTACAAAAAAGAACAAAAGTATTTTTTAAAAACAAAATAAGTTATTTATATTTTCAACTACAATATAAATATACAAAATTTTGGTCCCACACTCTATATATACCCAATGGGATTCTGGCCCTTTGATCGTTTTACGATATGTTAAAAAAGCATTGTAAGATAAATTAAAATGACAAAAAGCAATTATAGTATGTAAACATAAAAGAAATAAAGACATCAAGATTTAACACTACAAATATATTTACCTGTTGCTATTGTTACTGTTAATGACAGGATATGTTTTCAGCTGTGCGAACATCAAGCACAAAATAGCATTAATGTAATTAATTGTAAAAACTGGCTTTGTAATGTTACCAGGAAATACAGTTATTTTTACCTCAAATGAATTCCAGTTTCTCCTTAACTATTGTCTTATGATTAACAAAGTAAATTTCAAATCATAAAAATATTACTAATTTTAAAACATGATTTAACAGTAGACAAACAAACAAAAAAAAAAAAAAATTAGAACTAAATAAATATCAGGTTGGCAAAAAAAAATAATTGATTTTTTGCTTTCTGTTGCGATAGAGGTAATGATTAATTGATTATAAAAGGATTGCTTTATAATAGCATAGTTTCAGACAATAATATTTTAAAGTTAAATTTTGTGTAGTAAATTAAGTATATAGCAAATTTATGAATTAGTGATTTTTTAGTTTTGATGTTGTTTTTTTTTACAAAAAAAATGGTCATAGTCTATTTATTACATTTTATTTGATTTTCTAGATTGCTCATAGAAAGAACGTCGTTTAGAAATACAAATTTAGTTTATGTGCTGTAGACAAAGATTTTGTTTAAAAGGGAAAGTTGTTTAACAAAATGAGTAGACAGTTTACATCCGGTTTGTTTAACCTCTACGAGAAATAAGCATTTAATTCTTTAGTAGTAAGGGTGGTTTTTTTCAATATGTAATTGTAGTTTAGTATGAACTTGTAACTATATGTAAATTGATGGAGGAAAAACAAAAGTTAAAAATACTAAAAATAGTTTTATTTCCTTTTATATGAACATTGTTTCCGCACAATAGCGTCTTATTGTCTTATTGAAGTATTTTCATAATTTACTCATCAGAATTTTCTGTCCAATCATCATCAGAAATATTGCTTAAGTTAATGTTAGAAATCAAATTTTCTTGATCAGAAAATTCAGTGTCAGAAGAAACAAGGGTTTGCAAAAAATTATAAAATAATATTTAACGAATATTATATATTTTTTATATGTATTTCAACTCTCATGCCGACACTTTAGGATATTCAGGTTGGCAGTTGTATGCCGTCCTAAAGCAAATATAGGTCTGCTTTTGCATCGGCAATGCTGAATTCCGACCTGAATTTTGCTGACTGTATATATATATATATATATATATATATATATATATATATATATATATATTATATATATATATATATATATATATATATATATATATATATATATATATATATATATATATATAAGCACTATGCTTCTTAAGGTTGTAATGACACATATACATATTAATATCCAATACTTCTTAAAGTTGCAATAAACAGATAAAAATCTATATATCTATATTTGCTTTAAGGCCTTTCAGGAAGCTTAAAAGCAAAATATAAACTTTTTTATAATAGACAAATATACTCTTATGAAAAATTTTTCAATAAGAAATGTTTTTTTTTTTAAAAAACTATTAGCTAATGATCAATAAAGTAAATTTCATAACATTAAAATTTACTAATTAACCATATTTTAACAGTAGACAAAGTAAACTTGGTAAGAAATAAAGAAATGAAATAACAATAGTAAAAAGTAGCCATGTTTGTAATACGTAAACTTTGCAGCTAAAAATGAAAAACAATTCTACCATTATAAGCTATTCAAAGGTAAAACTATAGATAAACTAAAAATTAAAAAAAAAAAAAAAAAAAAAAAGTTGATTTTTATTGATATGTAAACAAAGTATAACAAAACTTAATATGAAATACATGATCCTTATAATAGAAAACATTAAAAAAATCCAATTCAACAAATTGGATAATCATTTACTTAGGTGCTTTTCAAACATTTTTATTATTTATTGATGAAAAATGAGATGTATGAGAAATAGTTATAGGGTTAAGGATAAGGATTTTAGCTGTATAAATTACTGTAAGAATCATTAGAATCATGGTTAAACTTGACTAAAAATGGAAATAATTATAAATAAAATTTATAAAGTCACCAATATAATATGTAATAAAAAGAAAAATTGAATAACTGATGGCACCGTTATTTAAATCAGTTAAAATATTTAAATTAAACTTATAATGAGCAATTATTCTTTTATAATAAATAATAAAGTCATAAAATTTTCATATCATTAAATATAATTAAAAATATATTTTTTGTAATTTCATTAAAAACATTGATAAAAAGAATTATAAAGCATTAATAATTTATAACATACATTGGCATTGTCATTATTATTTTCATTTCTAAGTCAAAAAATGCAACTTGCAACTTAACAACAGCTTAGCAACTAATCAAACAAATTTTAAAATACTGCATATCTATAACTTTATAACATTTAGATAAACTATTACATTAAAAGTAAAGTTAAATACTACTACTTGTTTTTAGCTGTGGCACTAAAAATAAAAATACAAATAAAAACATTGTTATTTAGTTTTTAACATTTTAAATAAAAAAAATTGTTGAAATAGAAAAAAATAAAAAAAAAGCACATGTAAAGTTTATATAATTTTTTAAAAATAAAATAAACTTTTAAAAATCTAACATGTAGTCCTTTAAATATCACCACCAGACAATAACATTGTACTAAATATTAAATTTTATATAAAACATAATAGAACATCTAACATGTAAAATTACATGATTATAACATCTAAAAATTATATAAAACCGTTATAAAATAAAAAACCATTTATACTTGAAATATGGTCATCGTCAGCTTTTTTAAATTTAAACAGCTTTTTAAGCTTATCTTAAAAAAATAATAATTCTTAAAATAGATTTAAAAACAAAAGATACATTCTATTTATAAAAAAATTCTTTAACTATATTATTTATAATAATGACAATAAACAGATTTAGAGATGTTTTAGAGATTTATAAAGGTTTAATAGGAAATACAAATTTGAAAATTAAACCACATGCAAATCAACAAACCATGTGCATATCAACAAACCATATGCACACCGACAAATCACGTGCACACCAATAAATCACAAGCACAACAACAATGTATTGCGCACTTCAAGATTTCAGTGTCTTAGTTTTAAAACTTTCTTACTTTAATATTTAAATAGAATGTTTTAATTTAAATATAAAACTATGATTTTCAATTATATTCTCATTAAAAAAGTTTTTAAAACCCCCTTTTTGCTTATAACGTAGTTAAGGAGGTTCAAATTCTCAGCTTGCTTTTTTTTTTAATTTTTAATTTTTTAAAATGTAAAACAAAGCAATTCTATAGTTCTATAGATATTATAAATAAATATTATAACCTGGTTTCCTTACGCTGACTTACGCTGAAAAAACTTTAAAAATAAAACTGTAAACTTTAAAATAAACTTTAACATTTACATAAGTTTAGATTTACATTAGTTAGGCCAGGTTAGGCCTATTTTAAATTACATTAGTTAGGCCAGGTTTTCTTATAAAAAAAGTGTTGAATGACTTTTTTCTACAACTCGACTTTTATGGTTGAAGTGAGTTTTGTGTCAAACACACATGAATGAGCATTATTAAGTTGCTCAATATATATGATTATTATTATGATTAGGTTATTCACATTTTTTTCAAATATTGTAGGAAACAGCTGTAAATATTGGCTTTTCAAGCAAGTTAATTGATTCCAGTATGGAAATAATTACCCTGAATTCAAAATCCAAGGTAGGATGATTTTAGCAATTACTAATAATATGTAATAAATAATATGTTTTTACTTATCACAGTAAAGAATAATAGAAATGATCTAAAGTTTTTAGTTTTTAAATTAACAAACTAACTAAAAGAAAAAACATTATCAAAATTTTATCATCAGAAACAGGTCCATCTCGATTTTTTGAATGAATTCTTATTCTTTGCATGTTCATTTTGAAACAAAATTTTGTTGTTTAGTATTTTCTATAATAGATTGTTTTAATTTCATAAATCAATATTCTGACAAATTGTTTTAATTTAAATAATATATACATCAATTAATGTAGTTTATTGAGACTTACTTGTTTATTTTTGTTTATGTTTATTTTTTATTTTTACAGACTCTAATAAAGACTATATAAAGTTCTTATTTTTTTAATGTTTTATAGTTTTAATACGAAAGAAATTCCAAAAAAAAAAGCCATAGTTTTTAATTTGTTTTCAACAGTTTCTATTTTATGTCTACAAAAAAATTGAAAGATTGAGCATCCGACATGACTGATATGAATTATCTGAGCATCAAACTGATATGAATTATCTGAGCATCAAACTGATATGAGTTATCTGAGCATCAAACTGATATGAATTATCTGAGCATCAAACTGATATGAATTATCTGAGCATCAAACTGAGTTGATTAAAACCTTTTAAAACTTTAATTTTTAAAAGTTTTCAGGATTTAAAAATCATTAAAACAAAAACAAACAAAAAAAACACTAAAAGTGAGTTAAATAGCTGACTTTTTGGATATTAAAAGCATGAAATATAATTTAGTTCATTTATGCAAATGTCGAAAAACAATTTTTTATATGAAAATTTTTTTTAAATGTAATATTAAATTTAATTATTTAATATTGAAAAAAAAAATGAAAAAAACATATTAATAAAAAACGAGTTAAACAGTTTTTAACTCGTTTTGCAGTAATTAATATTATTGCAAGATTATAGGAGGAGATAAAGAGCAAGGTAACGGTTAACTGAAAACTTAAAAATTTGTATGTTGTATAAATCAAGAAAATATAAAAATAGGTGAGAGTTATGATGTTTTGTTGATGTTCAAGGAAAAAAAACTGGATTAATAAAAATTTTTAATGCATGAAGGTACAGATACAGTAAAAGGAAAGCAAAATTAACTATTTAACTCCAAAAAAAAAAGTAAACTAATCAAATTTTAGGGGGAGAGGGGAGGGGGGGAATACTTGCAGTTTTGATAATTTTTTTTTTTAATAAAATTTTTTTGAAATGGTTTTATATTGTAAAAACCAGTTTTGTTCCTTTTTTTATATTTTTTATAAATGGTTAGAAGTGGTTTAAGAAATTTTTTTTTCATCAAACCACCTCATTTTTTTATCAGATTTTTGCTTTTCAAAGAACTTTCATATGAACTTTCAATTTCATATGAAATCAACAACCAAAAAAAACTTCTCATTAAAAAGTTTATAAAACTTCTCACCTATACCTCTCAGAATAGTTCTAACACCTCTTAGTCACCTATACCTCTCAGAATAGTTTTAATTTTACATCATTTGCAGTCCATATTAAATAATAACTGCAAAAATTTTAGGTAAAAGAATACATGGGTTGTTGAGGTATGAGTTAAAATAAAGCTGATTAAGCATTTTTGTTATTATCTGAAGAGATAACAAGGCAACTTTTATGTATAATATCTTGATAATAGTTTAGAGGATTTTCATAAAATTTGGATAACAAAATAGATTTTTGCTTGATGAATTCAAAAATTCTTCTTTAAATATTTGATTTTATATATATATATATATATATATATATATATATATATATATATATATATATATATATATATATATATATATATATATTGACTGACATTTCTCTGTTACATAATATAATATTGAAACATATATTATGTTATGTAACAGAAAAATGTCAAACTAACTATTAGGTTGGGGAGGGAAGGGGGTGTTATGTGATAATAGGTGTGTACGCAGGGTAAGGAAGGGATGTCATTGCCAGCATACAGGTGCGTACAAAGGGGTAGTAAAACTTTAATATAGTAATAGAGTTATTTAACTAGTTTAGGGCTTTAAGTTATTTAACTTTTTTTTTTTTGAATATCTTTACTTCCAACAAGGCTGCAAGCAACCACTATTAGAGTTGGAAGTTACTGGATGAGAAAAGATGAAATTTATAGAGCAAGATAATGATAGGCAACTTAAAATATTGCAAATTATATAAATCAGGAAAACAAGATAAAGGAAGTGAATTCCAAAGGACTAATGTTTGAGGAAAAAAACTGGACAAATAAGAATTTTTGGAGCACTTAGGAACAGTCACAGTAAATGGATGAGACTTAATTAAATGACAAGTAACACGAGAATGAATTTTAGTAATGACACAAGAGACGCTAGCTCTTTAGAACAGTGCCCATTATAGTATTTATAGAAAAGAGAAAGAGAATCAACATTATGACGATGTGATAATGATTGGAGGTTGGCTGCAAGAGCAGGTCCAACTATGTTTACAATGCAACTTTGCACCTTGTCTAAAAGAGAAGGAGCATTGTTGGAAGATCCGCCCTATATATGGCAACGGTATTCCATACAAGAACAGGTTTGAGATTTATAGAAATAAAGAATAGAATCCTGAGTAAGAAAGTGTCAAGCACAATAAAGAGATGCAACCTTAGCAGATGCTAAATTTGCAATCAATTGGATATATAGTTTCCAAGGAAGATTGTAACTAAGAGTTATTTGTAGAAGATGAAGATGAAGATAGATGGCTCACCAACTACATTACATTAGTGCTTACTTTGATCAAATATTACCAAGACAATCCATGAATCTAATTTTTTTCAGTAAACCAAAGCTAAATCAATGATATACAATTACCATTTTTTTCAGAGATTTTAAGTGACAGCCTCCATTCAAGCCCCAAAAATCAATAAATTTGAATAAAATTCGATAAAATAGCCAATCAAGTCCTCTGAGTAATATATTTAAATTCCTCAAGCAAAAATCTATTTGGGTTCCTAATTCTAGGAAATTCCTCGAAACCATTATCGTGATGTTAAAGTTTCTTTCTCTTCTGATAATAACAATAAAATCAGGACTATTTCAACTGTCGATACCACAACAACCCATGTATATTTTTAGTTTAAGTTTTTACAGTTTCATTTATTCAATATGGACTGCAAATGTTGTAAAAATAAAGCAATTTTGAGGCGTAAAGGTGACATAATAACATGCATAATAAAAGGAGTACTAGATGGATTCTAAAACCTTAATAAATAATAAAACTAATAATAAACAATTAGTTGATAAAAAAAGGTTATTGATTTGTTTCCTACAGCTACAGTCAAAGAATTAGTTTACTGACATGATGAAGGTTTCTTTCCTAATACTTAACTGAATTAATTATGTTCAATTTGTTTAAATAAATACATTAAATCATTTAGTCTTTTAAAACTCTCAACTTTATTTTGGTTTTATCTTGGTCTTATTTTAGTCTTGGTTTTGTTTAAACCTAAAATAAATAAGTTGTATGAGACAAATTGTTTTGGTTATTTTTTTAAAGATTATCTTTCCTTACTGCTTTCTTACACTACCACCTCTTTACACTACACTTACTTAAAGCAAAATTATTATAAATCTATAATTAAATCAAAAATGAGGAAACAGAAGCTACTTTGTGGTTACAACCCTCCCTCAACTCTTTAACTCTGAAACATAAACCTTGACTAAGAAGGTTGCTGTGCGGAGAAACAAGTTGATGGGGAGCATCTATTTAGCTGTGGTGGAGGCAATTTACCTAGTAGAAAGTAGTATTAGTACCTTGTTACCTAGTAGTAGAAATGAAATTTTGAAATAAAACCCAGAATAACTATTGAATAAAAACTTTCACTCCTGGTTTGCAAGAACAGGTTAATTTCAGGAAGTACATTATAAAATATAAATAAGTAAAAACACAAAAACTTACTTATACCATAATTGTGGAACAATGTATGTTAAACTAAAAAAAATTCATATTTTTATTTTATAGGTAAATTCAATCTTATATAATCTTTTTTCTTATATATTATCTATAGATAATCTTTTTTCTTAAATATTTTAATTTTTATTTTTAATTGTTTATACATTTATTCTAACTTTGTTCAAGTTGCATTTTGAATTGTTCATTCTATCACTTGTTCTATTTAACTTTATTTATATTTTTAATGTTATTTTTTGTTTCTATGATGTTATTGTTGGTTTCTATGACTGCTTGAAGTAATAAATTCATAATAAAATCAATTATGTTATTTAGGAAGAATGCAATGAATTGCTTGAACAGATTCAGCAGCGAATAAGTACTACTTGGCCAGAAAACAGTGTAGTAATTAAACACCCAAGAGGCAATATCAATACAGGAAGACCGCCACTTGCATTGATTGTAGATGGTGTTACACTTACTTTTGCTTTAGAAAAACCATTAGATAAAAAGTTTGTTGAAATAGCTCGTTATTGTGAATCAGTAATATGCTGTCGCGCTGCACCATTACAAAAAGTTAGTTTTTATTTTTATTTAAAAGGTATTATAAAGTCTAATTTTATAAATATGTCATTAAAAGTATAATTTTTATAAAATATTTAATAGAAGTTTTTTTTTGCATTTATTGTTGAAAATTAACCATGTCTGATATAGCCTTGTTCAAATATGAAGCCATTGTTTTGTGACCCACAATTCCCATACAAATGAATTGGCATACTTTAAAAAAACTATTACTATGTACCACTATAGTAATTTATATATATATATATATATATATATATATATATATATATATATATATATATATATATATATATATATATATATATATATATATATATATATATATTTTTTTTTTTTTTTTGCATTAAACTAAATTATTTACCACATATATAATAAAAATTATATAAAAAATGAAAAATTTATTAAACTTGTTTTAATTTATTTAAAATTTTGTGAAGGTTTTTTTATAATTTTTATAATTATAATTTTACACATTAAAATATTAGTGTATATAGAAGTTCATTTTTAAACATTTTGGTTTAAAGTGTTTGATGAATTAAAAAAGTATACACCACACACACACACTTATATATAGGTGTTTCATAATTTCACCTTTTTTAATTTTAATATGCATGCAGTTTATTTCCATTCTATTATGTCCCCTGATTATTTATATATAAGAAAACATTTTCTGACTTCAATTCCAGCAATATGTAAAATTTCATTTTTGTTAAAAATCAAAATTTTACACATTTCCTTAATTAAAGATGCAAGTATTTTTCAAAAAATGTATGTTTGAGAGATTAAAAATTATAAACATTTTAATTATGGAAAGTTTTGAGTTTCTTCATCCTGATCATTAGCATAAGGTTTTGCATATTGTTAGATTTGTATCCACCTACTAAGTCCTGAATAAGACTTAGATTTCGCCATGCAAGTCAAATTTTAAACAAAATTTAGAATACATCTATCTACTAGGAGCTTTTTTTTTTCCCTCCACTGTTCTACTTTACCATCAGGGTAATAATATTCAACAGGATCAAACTTTTTTTAGCTACCAGCTCTTAAAGCTTAGTGGACTTAGATAAAATTAGCAGCTTAGGTTTATTAAAAATTTGTCCAATTCTTCTTTAACTGAACACTAGGCTTTCTGGAGTTAGACATATAGTCCTTCCCTTAAGCTCTTCGTCTTTTCTCTTGTCAAAACCTTTATAAAGTGGAGATATGTACTTATATCATGTCATTTGCAGAGAAACCATAGAAGTGGAATGTTCAGAACGGAGCAAAGAATAACAATCCAGTATTGTCGTGTCACAACAAATAGTAATTATATTATCTACATTTATGGAAGTATTTTAGCAGATTCCAAATTGATGTTTAAGATGTTTTTCAACAATATGTTCTTTAAGGTTATATTAAAATAATTAATTTGATTGTTATTTATGACCCAACTTTATACACATTGGCAGAAAAATATTTTTAATGATTTATGGTACCCACTATGTTGTAGTGTCATGTAGTGGGCATGATCTTTTTCAGAAGTTGACACTTTTCTATGATATTTTTTGTTTAAACATATTTTTTTCTTAAATTATAACATTGGGTATAAATATTAACAATAAAATATGTTTAGTTATGTCCCTACAAGTCATTAGCTTTGGAGCTTGTTGACTGAACAGCACCCAGTATTATATTAGCAATTTCGTTCATATCAGGTGATGTAGCACTGACTGCTATCCTTTCTAAAGATACAATTTTGTTTAAATTTTTTAAAATCTGTTTCATCCTCTTTGCATAAAAATGAACACAGAGCTTCTGTCTCTTCAGAGTATTTCAGATGTTTTGTCTTTTTGTACCTAATACCTCTACATTTCTGAATCACTTTCTATGTTGATAGAGTAATATTTTCATAATCCTCACACCACCTTTATTGTAAATTGCAGCTACTAATGAAGTTTGTGGGGATATACCTGCTCTGTATCAAGCAGAAACCAAAGCAGTACAACCAACCAGATTTCAGCCCTTGTGTTTATCATTATCTTAGACTTTAGAACAACTGAATCTATCATTAGAACAACTTAATCTATCATTAAAACTGAATCTATCAGATAAATCCCAAGAATCTTACTTCAGATCCAGATTCAGGCCTAGATAAGCGGGCAAAAACATCAGTTTATTGATTTTTATTGCATTTATTGTTGTTTCACCTTTACATCTTGTCTCCTCCATCCTCCTAAACCGAACATGTCTGTTCTCCATTAACTTGTAGAATGATTGGTCTTTTGCTTTTCTGTATTATACATGCTTGTCTCTCTTTTGTGATATAGAAAAAACTGGTTATCCTCTTGGTTCTCTCTCTTGTGATATAGAAAAAACTGGTTATCCTCTTGGTTCTCTCTCTTTTGTGATATAGAAAAAACTGGTTATCCTCTTGGTTCTCTCTCTTTTGTGATATAGAAAAAACTGGTTATCCTCTTGGTTCTCTCTCTTTTGTGATAAGAAAAAACTGGTTATCCTCTTGGTTCTCTCTCTTTTGTGATAAGAAAAAACTGGTTATCTCTTGGTTCTCTCTCTTTTGTGATATAGAAAAAACTGGTTATCCTCTTCTTTGGCATTCTCAAGACAAAAACGATTCTAAAATATTTTCTGTTCAAACTTTTGTAAAAACACATTTAGCTTAAAGAAATTAGATTTCCGGCTCAATGATTTAATACATGTAGATATCCAATGTAGATAGTACATATGTAGATATGTGTAGTTATTATGGAGCATTAATATCATATCCCTGACACTGGGTCCACTGCTATAAAATCTTAAACCTTTGTAACATTTGTTACAGCATAGACATTGCATCTCTGTTTATGATTTATGCAAAAATAATTTTATACTTTCACTTCTCTCTCTTTTTTTTTTTTTTTTTAATACAACTCATTTCAATTTTTATTATTGCTAAAACAAATCACCATTCAAGTGTCACCAAATAAACAAACTGCATATTGCACAAATTACATTACATTATATTTTTATAAATATACATCTATGTATATAGAACATATATATAATATGAAGTTTTTTTATAAAAAAAGTTGGTTTCACCATTGAAAAAAAATCAGCTTTAATTTATTAAAATAAGTATTTAAATTTAAACAACAGACAAAAAGCAGTTAAAACAAAATTATATACAGCAAACACAAAGGTTGTTTAATTTGTCACTAACATCAATTCTCACTGAGAATAAGAATTTTCTGAATAGTCTTAAACAAATTGTCACTTGATTTACAACCAACCTAAAAACATTGGTTTTTCTATAACTTTGTTGAAAATAAAATTTGTAGGGTTTGCTTCTAAAAAAGTTCATAAATTTTATCATAAATTTAAAAAATTGAGATTTTAAATATTGTTGAAATTGGTTAGGAAATTTTTCTACTGCTACATATAAACCCAGATGGTATTAAAATGAGAAAATGATGTGCGCAAGAAAATTTTTTTGGACACATTTTGGGACACAATTCTATTGTTTCAAAATCTTTAGGCTGCTGTAGTTAGCTTGATTCGTGAAAACCTTAAAGTGATGTCTTTAGCAATAGGCGATGGAGCAAACGATGTAAGCATGCTACAAATGGCTGAGGTATTTGTTTTGAAATTGTTTTTATTTTCCTGCTTAAGATAAAATTATTCTGCTTTTCTTTTTTGTTAAATGGTTTTATTTAAATGTTACAATTCTTCTTATCAGATTGGTGTTGGAATTGCAGGAGAAGAAGGTGTTCAAGCTGTAATGGCAAGTGATTTTGTTCTTGGACGATTTCGTTTTTTACAAAGACTTCTTTTGCTTCATGGTTTTTGGTGCTATGATCGTACTGCAAGAATGATTGTCTATTTTTTCTACAAAAATGCAGTGAGTTGCAAAAATGCAGTTGATTTCACTTCGTGGAAATAAATATTTTAGTTTATAAAAGTAAAAATTTTTGAACTATTTTTTAGATGTTTGTTTCATTGCTTTTTTGGTATCAACTTTATAATGGTTTTTCTGGTTCAAATGCAATTGATGACATATCTCTTATTTTATTCAATTTAATTTTTACATCATTACCTCCAATTATATCTGGCATTTTTGATCAAAGCCTCAGCGCTGAAGCTGTTATAAAAAGACCATTACTTTATCAATGGGGCCAGTTTGGTAAAGGATATTCAAGAAAATTGTTTTGGATATCAGTGCTTGATGCAGTATATCAAAGTTTGGTCTTGTACTTTATTACTATGTACTCTTATTTCGACCTTCCTTTTGGAATGTTAGTGGTTGGAATTACATACCACCAGTTGGCAGTACTAACAGTATCACTTCATATAGCTGTTGAAACTCCTAATTGGGTAATTTTTTTGTTTAGCTTTGATGTGAAAAAATTTTATTATTTAAAATAACTATTTTATTGTAATTTAAACACATTTTTTATTTTATTATGTTTATTATGTTTTTATATGATCGATAAACAATCAACAATAACAAGTGTTGTTATATACTTTTTTTCTTGTTTGTCTGTTAAATAAACTTAAAATATTTGTTTTATGTATCATCATTATCATTTTAGTGTGTGCTTGTTTTTGCGCTTGCACAAGTCAGACATTTCTCAATAGTTTTATTCTTCCAATTGATATCTTGAGCATCTTATTTTTCTTAAATTGAAGATTTTTTATGTCATTTGTAATACACTCTCTGTAATATCTGTAATTCGGACATAAAGGAATATTTATTTTACTTTTTTTTTTCATTATTTAAATAATGAAACAAAAAGATTGCTGCCCCATGCCAAACCCTCATTTGATGTAGCAACACTCTCTTGCAACAGCAGGCTATAAGATGTGTCAATGTGTCTACTGAAAGTATGAATACTGATAAATATTACTTTATATTTAAAAAGTCTCTACTAACAAGATCACAAGCAATGGGGCAGCAATCTTTTTTTTTCATTATTTAAATAATGAAACAAAAAGATTGCTGCCCCATGCCAAACCCTCATTTGATGTAGCAACACTCTCTTGCAACAGCAGGCTATAAGATGTGTCAATGTGTCTACTGAAAGTATGAATACTGATAAATATTACTTTATATTTAAAAAGTCTCCACTAACAAGATCACAAGCAAAAAAATAAAATTATTTTATTTTTGAAATTACACAAATACCCCATGTGGGGAAAAATAGGATATTTGTGTAATAATGAATAATGTAAAATTATGGCCAGTTATGTCATAGCCTAAAACTTATAACAACTATTAGGCTAAATATAATTTATAGCAAGACTTAGGTTTTAAGTCTAAAGGAACATGTTAGTTACACACTAGTGGGCCTATATACTATATACTATAATATATATACTATAATATTATAGGTCTATTTGTCTGTTTAATTGAATAAAATAACAATTAAGCTAGAAGCATTATATGTGTATAATTACAAAGTTTAAAAGAATAAAGTTGGGTAAAATAGCAAAGAACCCTATTTTGCTCGATTACAACTAACCCATTACAGCCCATTCTAGTGTAGCACATTAAAAGGCATATAATCGAAACTGGATTGATTTTAGTTTTATAAGTCGTAAGTTGTTTAAAAAATAAGATGTATAATTTTGTATTTACCTGGTTACAATAATGCTGCGTTAAAAGTGGACTATACCTCAATATGTTGTCTCATATTGCATTACTTTAAATCCAAATATTTGCTAAACCCCATATTTCCCCTATAAAGAAAAAAAAAATTTCTTCTTGATTACCTAATATCTACATACTCCTATACAACAATAATATATATATATATATATATATATATATATATATATATATATATATATATATATATATATATATATATATATATATATATATATATATATATATATATATATATATATATATATATATATATATATATATATATATATATATTAGGGTGGTTTTTTTTTCAACTTTTTTTTTAAAAAACTAGGCATAACCTCTAAATGTGTGCAAAATAATAAAATAACACTAGTTTTAAAATTTTTTTGAATAAAAAATATTTTAATGGGTTCACCAAGACCCTTGATTATTTAACAAATTTTTAACAATATTAAAAAAAAAAAGTTTTTTAAAAATAGGTCAACCTGGTACTCAAATGAAGTAAAATTATATAAAAATTTTAAAAATATTGATTATTTTGAATAAAAATAATTTGTTTAACTTATATGTTAAAATTATCAGGAAAAAACTTTAAAAAATGCACTTTTTTCATTTTTGTTAAAAACTGTTATTTTTTATGCAATAAAACCTAAAATAATAATTTTATAAAAATTAGTTACTATTTTTAAAATTTTTATATAATTTTGCTTCATTTGAGTACCAGGTTGACCTACTTTTAAAAAACTTTTTTTTTTAAATATTAGGGACCTGTTAAAAATTCAAGGGTCTTGGGGGACCCCTTAAAATATTTTTTATTCATAAAAATTTTAAACCTAGTGTTATTTTATTATTTTGCACACATTCAGAGATTGTGCCTAGTTTTTTGAAAAAAAAAGTGGAAAAAAAACCCACCCTAATATATGTAATGTATATGTAAAGGTATTTGTATTAAATTAAAGATATTAGTTTAAATATTGAAATTTATTTTTCACTTTTTTTGTGTGCTTGTTAAAAGGACTATAACAATATCTTCGATGTTCATTCTCATACCTCAACAAGTAAACTTTCTCGTGATAGTTACAAATAAAATCTATGGGATTTACTTTGCTTCTCAAAGAAAGAAGGTCTTGGTTTAGTTCAGACAGTTCTTGGTAACATTTACTTTTTTAGACTTAATAACTTGATAAGATAAGCACTGTTCATTTAATGCTTTATCAATACAGCAAGAATAGAGCTCAGGGATACTACTTGTTATTAATTAGCTTTAAAATACAACAATTTATTTGGTTTTATTGGTACTTTTTAGATTAACATACCGGTATTATAAAATTAAATAAAACAGTAATTAAAAATAATAATGATAATAATTTTATGGAAAATTTATCTGACTTTTAGAGACTATCTTTTGGGATTATAAATAAGTGGTCATTAATTTTTTTGCTTTTTATTAACACTCTCTGAATGATGAGTATAAGAAATTTTATGAAAAAAAACTGCCATATTAGGAAACAAATGCTTTGCATCGCGGATCAATTAAAAAAAAATCTTGACCCGTCTCATTTTGATAACATATAACTTTTGAATGCAGCTCTTTAATCAATTGATTTTTGTAATAATATTTATTCACCCCGTTTAGATCAACAGACAAATTGATTTGTATTAATTTTTGAAACCATCTTGTTTAAAAGTTATTAGCTGTTAAAAAGGCGTCCTATGATTCAACCGAATCTCTAATTTCAATTTAGAACCGAATATGAAAAAAAATTACACAACCGAAAATATTTACGAAAAAAATTAGAACCGAAAAAATTTCAATCGAATTTTCAATCGAAAGTCATTAATGATTTTAGAACCGAAAAAATTTCGATCGAATTTTCGATCGAAAGTCATTAATGATTTTAGAACCGAATTTCATTAAAATGGTTTACAACCGAAAGTTACACTTAATTAATTACAGTTAAGTGAGTGTTTTTAGAAAACAATGAGGGAAAACAAAGAATAATGAATGAAAAAGATGCTGACCCATACCAAACCCTCAGTCGATGTAGCAGCACTCCACTGCGAGTCAGGCTATTTGTCAGTCGATGTATGTACTGAAGCCCCCAGCAGCAGGCTGTTTGACGTTAGGTGAGTATGACATCATCATGCTCACCTAACTCAGCAGTATAAGATATATGTATATATATTTTAAAGAAATTTTAATTGTTTATTTTATTGTAAAATGTCTAACTGAAAAAAAAAAAATAGATTAAAAAAAGAAAGGATTTTGTAATTCCATCCAAATTTTTTCGGTTGTAAAATTCGGTTTAAAAACTTTCGGCGCAAGAAAGGATTTTGTAATTTGATCCTGCAATGAAAGTATACTTTTCGGTTCTAAAATTTTTGGTTGTGAAATTTTTCGGTGATATTTTCGAGGATAAATATTTTCGGCTCTATCATGTGACACGGTTAAAAACGATGAAAAAAACCTTTTTGCTTGTAAAGTGAAATTTCATGCAAAACAGCCCACTTCTTAAATAGTGTTTTCTCAAGAACCATAATAGATATTGATCTATAATTTTCAAAATAAATTTTTCTCATATATATGTTCAAAATCAAAAACTTTAAATGAAATTTGAGGTGGTCTTTAAGGAACCTTATTAAAAATTGCTCCACTTAGCATGGAATGACCCTGTTACGCTTGTACCAGTTATCATTAAGTAACACCTTTCGAAATTTTCAATTATTTCAGCAAAATTTGGCTGAACGATAAATCTAAAGCAAGCTTTTACAACTAATTGAAACTGTTGAATGCTTCAATTATGTGAAATATTTTGGGAACCGAGTTTGTATCAGCAAGTTGTTGAAGCACATCCACATTTTTAAGAAGCTTCCTGCATTCATTTCCCTCAAACTGGCCTTAATGATATGGGCTAGTTGAATGTGAAAAGCAGCTGGCCATTTAACAGCTTTTATCCAAGCAGTTTTAAGTATCTTGAAAAGATGGTTTGAAAACTCCTATAAGGATATGCGATTCTATCGGTGGGATTATTTCCAAATTTAAAACATTTCCAGGCCTGCTGTTGATTGGTTTTCAAAAGACATTGCCAATTACCTTTGCACTTGCAACAACCCTGCCAGACTGCTGAAAAGACTCGATGTTAGATTTGATTGAGTCCAGTGTTCACGAGTTTCCATATTTGGCAAAATACTTGGATTTGAGGTCATACCATGTACAAGGGTGCATACTTGAATGGGTTTAAAGACCTCAAATTATATTTGAAACTTTAATATTGCAAGCCAAAATTAGTTTAATTCCATTTGATTTGATCAGTGAACAGATTTGTTCAATGTTGGAGTGAGTTTCTTGCAAATATTCTGATACCGCAACAAAAATTTGTTTCTTAACTCCAGTGTCTTTGCCAGTCCTTTAAGTGAGAGGTGTTTTGTACAGTTAGCATATTCAATCTGCTTGGAAAGCAATAAGCTGTCTTTTTTTTCAGACAGAGGAAGCACACAAATTTTCTATTTTCATTGTGAACCTTTGCTTGATTTTGCATTGTGGCAATTCACTAAATCAAACTATCCCTTTTACAAAATTTAATCTGAATTTATATTGGATAACAATCCATTAACATACCTTCAAATATTATAAATTACAAAGGATTAAATTTAAGGAAATAATTACTTAAATGACAAGGAAGTAATTCTAACATAATTCTTTTGTTTAAAGAAAATGATTATTTAAATTAATGCCACTTGTCACACTTATTGACAGTTTAGATGAGATTTTATTTGATGACACATTCCTACAAAAGATTTTTACTGATCTTCAAAGAACTATTCTAACTTTCATAAGATTTTACTCTGACTGACCTTCTAAACTTTTTGTTTGTCAATTATAAAATAAAAATGGTAGTTGTAGCAATAGAACAATTAAAACAAAAATTGTTAGTATTACATAGTAGAACACTCATGTAACCTTTATTTAAAAATAGTGATCAAACATCACAGTAATTGGTAACATTTTAAGGTCTAAAACTAACAAAATACATTCTAAAACTGCCATAAATACCTAACCAGTTAACCAATCTTGCTGAAATTTAAATAGAGTTCATCTTCAGGGGTTCCATATTTTTTCATATCTGGTATTCTGGAATGACTGTCAAGGATTCAAAATTACCATTCATGAACCTGGTAAGAACTTGGGAACCGATTATGACAAAAAATTTAACTGGTGTCACTATTATATTATTTTATTGGTTTTTATTTTTTACGCCTTTTAATATCTTCTTATCTTTACACAGATATATATATATATATATATATATATATATATATATATATATATATATATATATATATATATATATATATATATATATATATATATATATATATATATCTGTGTATCTGTCATTATAAATTTTAGATAATTTGAGAGTAACATTAGAATTTTTTTTCATTTTATAGACATGGATTCATGGTGTTGTTATATTTGGCAGTGCTAGTATTTCATATATTTATTTTATAATCTTTTGTGCTATTGATCCACTTATAAACATTTATTGGGGTGTTTATGAAGTCATGTCATCATCTCAGTTTTGGTTACTTAGTTTTATTTGTCCAATTATTGCATTGTTACCAAGGTACCTTTTGTTTTTAAATTCATAAAACTTGCATTAAAGAGTCATTCACTTAGTAAAAGTAAATGTTTGTTTATGTGTATATGATAACTCTATACTGCAAGTTTTTATTAATTTGTATATAATAAAAAATGCGAAATTTGTAAAATCATTGACCTAATTTGTACTGATTCATAAGTTTTATTTTAAATCAAATCATTAACTATAAACGTTTTTATAAATATGAAATAAAATAGCAATTATTTTATTAGTTTAATAAATTAATTGCATTCAATTATATATTAATTATATATTATATATAAATGATTTGATAAATTAATTGCATTTAATTTTTCTACTTCATAGATTGGTGTACCGTGCATTTGCAAACACATTAAGACCCTCTATAATTCAATTGGTTAGAAAAAAGTAATATAATGTATTTTTTTAAATACATTGAAATCATTCAATCATTTTGAAAATAAGTTGACTGGTTAAGGGTGCAATTAGAGTCAATAGCTGAGAATAATAAAATTAATATGTAAATTAGTAATGAAGTTGTACAGCTATTTTAAACTTTGATTATCTAGATACAATAATATTCATTGTTTTGAAAATCAAAAAGAATGAATTAAAATAATTAACAATTATAATATTTATTTATCATTTTATTGTTGAATATTTATACAGAGTAATTTTTTTAAACAGAGATATAATAGGGTGGTTTTAAGACTTTATTCTTTCCTCTTCTTATACATATGGTTCTTGTTTTTGAAGATGAACATCATAATACTTTTCAAGAAAATATTTTTAAGATGTATTTGATTTTGAAATAGATTTGTAAAAAGTGATTTTTTTGAAAGTTAAATTTTGTTATACGCTTCTTACCTTAGCATATCAGATGTTTTTTAAACAAATCATACAATCATTATTTATTAGTTTACTTGAAAAAACATGCTATTTGGCTAATATTATATGATGATGTTAATAATTGTTATTGATGATGATGATGACTGTGATTATGTTATATATATATATATATATATATATATATATATATATATATATATATATATATATATATATATATATATATATATATATATATATATATATATATATATATATATATATATATATATGTATATATATAATTAAAAACTCATAAATTGTAACTATAAATATTTATTTTTGGTAAAAACTATTTTTTTAATTTTTTTACATAGTTATTGATTCTTAAAAAAAGTGTTCAGTTTTGTATTGATAAAAACATTTTTGTTGTTGTTTTGTTTTGCAATAGAAATAACAGTAATAAAATTACTAGAATTCTTTTAGTTTTTCCTGGTTTTTGCAAAATATAAAAAAATCTATTTGGTTGTAATTATTTTTTTATATTTTAATTTATTGTTTTGTTAGATGTCTAGTATTTTATAGTTGTTTTTATAACAATGAAGGAATATTTCAATTTATCAAAAACTCTTTCAAATATTATGGATATAAATTTTTTGTTTCAAAATTTAGTTTTTTTTTATATAGTTATACATTTTCAAATAAATTGTTGATTCTCAAATTATAGTCTTTAATTAAACAATGACTTTTAATGCATAAAAAAACTTTTAAATATAATAATAGGTACATTTCTATTTAATCATAAATACTTTATTTGTTACAAATGAATAAATTAAAGATGCTAAGAAGCTATAGTTATAGATGCACTTTTAAAAATGTCTTACATTCATCCATAAATAAGTCATAAATCCATCTATACTTTATATGCATCTCTATAATCACCATGTAAGTTATAGAAGCATGTGCAAATAATCATATGATGTAAATGGATCATTTTAAAATAAGTCATAGATATATTTATAATTAAGTAAGTTATTGGTGTGCTATATATATTTAGGGCAATGTTACATAAATAATACATATGCAGCTATAATTTTTATAGGCATCCATCAATGACTAAATAGGGGTGTATCTAGTATTCAATAGTTTTTCAATTTATTAAAGTCATGGATTAAAATTTTTCATTCAGTATGTAAAACGTTTATTTTTTCACACGCAAAAAAAGAAAAATTAATAACATGTCAATTCTTTATTGCACAATAACTCGTGGCACTACAGTTCTTGCAAAACATGCTAAATGCACTGGAAACTTTCAAGAGGTCGTTGAACATATTCTTGTCAAAATAGAAACAAATAAAGATTCTAAAATGAGTTATACACAGACTGGGTAAGTTTTTTTTCTTTTTATAAAAAAGTTTGTCTGTCCAATATATGACATTAGAAATATTTTTATTTTACTTTTTAGTTACTTGTTTCATTATATTGTTGAATCTGGCATCATATATTTATGTATAACAGATGAAGTAAGTAAAAACATATTCTAATCATGTAAATAATTTGAATTATATAATCGTTTATTTAATTTAAAATTTTTAATGAAAAATAGCACATTTTTGCAAAATTTTTATGTAAAGTTGAATTTAAAACAAGTTGTTTAAATAAAAGTCACAAAAGTTGTAATACTCTGTTGTTCATATTATTTATAAATATCTAATTGTTATACTCTGTTCACACATCTCTGTTATAATGATAAAATAAAATTAGTGTTGATAAAAAACAAATGTTTTTTTTTTTTTTATTTGAATAGCTTTTTTACAGTCTGCTATTTCAATAAAGTTAATCGAAAACCATGTGACCATGTTTTTTTGTGTATGTGTGTGTAATCTAAATTTCAAATTTTGGGACACAAGTATCCAAATCTGTATTTAATATAAACATTTCTTTTATTTATAAGTTTAGTTGTCAGTAATGTCTCATTTTCAATAGAAGTAGTAAAAACTTATTTATAATGCCAGTTTTGCTATAAAAATTTTGACAAATAAAATCAGACATGGTATAAAAAGTTTGACAATCAAAAAATTTACTGTTAGTTCTGTTACTGTTAAAGATTAATGTAAAATTATTAGTGTAAAATTATTTTAGTATAAATTCCTAATATAATAAAACTACTATTAGTATTAATATTTAGAAGTCTTTTATTCGAAAAGGGCATTAAATTTTTTTTTTCTAAATAAATTTTAAATCTATTGAAAATCACATTAAAAAATCAATAAAAGATGTTTTAGAACCAAGTAGTCAAAAAAGTTCAAATTAGGAAAACAAATATGATTTTTAATTAAACACTTATTTAATCCTTATAAGACCAATGCAAAATATTATTTGTTTTCAAGTGCCATAAACATCACCATTGATCTCAGGTCATTCACTATTTCATATCATATAGTTGACTATGCTTTAAGTTGTATTCTGAACTATTTAAATCAGTATGTATTTAAAACTTATTGTATATCAGTTTGTATTTAAAATTTATTGTATACCAGTTTGTATTTAAAACTCATAAGCTTATTTGATACTTTCACTTGTTTCACTTATAATTTAAAATATTTACTTTTGCATATGGAATTTTAAGTAATGGATAATTCTATGCAACAGTTTGAAGGTCTATCATCTGCTTTTCTTAAGTTTGGATCAATTTGGTTCATATTGATCCAAATTTAGGGATCAATTTGGATCAATTTGGATTTTTTTGACAAACATATTTAAGTGATCTGACAAAAGTCAAAAAGGAATCAAAAGCAAATTCCATAATTTTTCAATAATATAATTATGTATACTGTCTATATTTTCCGTTTATAACACTATCAAAAATAAACATTTATGATAGTGTTATAAATTGTTTTTGTTTAAATAATTGCACTCTTTCTGGTCTTATATATATATATATATATATATATATATATATATATATATATATATATATATATATATATATATATATATATATATATATATATATATATATATATATATATATATATATATATATATATATATATGTATATATATATATAATAAAAGAAATTTTATTTTTTTCGTATACATATATATATATATATATATATACACACACATAAGTTTTATATATATATATATATATATATATATATATATATATATATACACATTTACACACATAAGTTTTATATATATATATATATATATATATATATACATTTACACACATAAGTTTTATATATATATATATATAATAAAAGAAATTTTATTTTTTTCGTATACATATATATATATATTTATATATATATATATATATATATATATATATATATATACACACACACACATAAGTTTTATATATATATATATATATATATATATATATATATATATATATATATATATATATATATATATATATATATATATATATGTATATATATATATATATATATATACATATGTATGTATGTATAAGAAAAAAATAAAATTTCTTTTATTGATAATAAGATAAAAATGTAAACTATTCTAACTATATAAAATCTTATTAGTGCATTAAAACTTCACTTTTCATTACAGGCATTTGATAGATCTACATCATTTACGTTTTTACTAGAAGTGAAAAAACGGTTAGTTTTTTATTAAATTTTTTAATAGATTTTTATCTTAATGTGTTTTTTAGTCATAAAAATTTGTCTTTTTTATGCTGTTGCAGTAAACATGACTCTACATAATGAAGCCAGTTGCAGGCTGAGTTTTATTAAATGATTTAAATTTTATACATTAGACTACCTATATTTCTTTCTATTATAATATTTGAAAATTTATAAATTTTCTAAAATAAGTAATGCTGTTTTTATCTTTTGATATAAAGTTTTAAAAAATTAAATTTTTTTTTAAAATAAAAATTGAAAATAAAACTTTATTAAACCCAAAAAAGTTATATGAAATGTTTTTTTTTTTTTTTTTTTTTTTAGCTTTACAAAAACATATCAACATCGAATTGAAACTGCACTTCCATTCGCAATGCAAAGTGAATTCTCTAATGTTCTTGCAAGTGAAATGGTTGGTATAAAATTTATTTGACAAAAAAACTAATAGTACATCACAAAACTCAATAGTTGTTATTCAATAAAAAAATATTTGTGAATTGATCTTGAAAATATGATAAAAAATCTCATTTTAAAACCATATTAGGGATCGTTCTCAAATATTTTTAAAAAACAGAAGTAGGAGATATTAAGGTATTTTATGCTGCGATTTTCATTAAACTTAATGGCCTATTTTGATTTTTATTTTTTTACAATAAAGGTTCTGCAAGGAAAACTTTTGATCTATTTTGTTTTGTTTATTGTGAAAGTTTGCGTTATGTAATTTATGGGCAATCCCTTATTATTATTTTTAATTATGTTATTAAAAAATCATAATTTAAACTTTAAAGCATAAAGTACAATCTGATATTAAAAATCAAATTACCCCAAATCACAACTTGTTTTTTGAGGTATTTTTTTTTTTTTTTTTTTTTTTTTTTTTTTAACATCTTCACTTCCAACAAGGCTGCAAGCAACCACTATAAGAGTTGGAAGTTACTGGAAGAGAAAAGACTAAATCTGTAGAGCAAGATAACGATTGACTGATGACTTAAAAGATTGCAAATTATATGAATCAGGAAAGCAAGATGAAGGAAGCGAATTCCAAAGAACTGATGTTCGAGGAAAAAAACTAGAAGAATAAGAGTTTTTGAAGCACTTAGGAACAGTCACAGAAAAAGGATGAGACTTAATTGAATGGCGAGTAACACGAGAGTGAATTTTAGTAGATGGCACAAGGGACGCTAGCTCTTTAGAGCAGTGCCCATTATAGTATTTGTAGAAAAGAGAAAGAGAAGCAACATTACGACGATGTGACAAAGGTTGGAGATTGGCTGCAAGAGCGGGTCCAACTATGTTTACAATTCGTTTTTGCACCTTGTCTAAAAGAGAAAGAGCATCATTAGAAGATCCGCCCCAGATGTGGCAACAGTATTCCATACAGGGACGGATTTGAGATTTATAGAGATAGAGAATAGAATCTGGAGTAAGAAAGTGTCGAGCTCGATAAAGAGATGCAACCTTAGCAGATGCTAATTTTGCAATGGATTTGATATACGGTTTAAAAGAAAGATCAGAAGTAAGAGTTAATCCTAGAAGATGAATGGTAGATGACTCATCTAGTACATTACCATTCATAAATATAGGAAGATCTAAATTATTACGATAACGATTGGCCGAATAAAATTGAGTTTTATCTGAATTAAAGTTCACCAACCACTGTGAGCCCCATGCTATAGCAGAAGTGAGATCCTTTTCAAGCTCAGATACCCCCTCCAAGCAATCAGAGAGTGTAGGCTTCTTATCATGACAAGAGTAAATGGTAGTGTCGTCAGCGAATAATGCCACCTTAGATGTGAGAATATCTGGAAGATCGTTAATGTAAATTAAAAAGAGTATAGGGCCAAGGATTGAACCTTGAGGAACCCCTGAAGTTACAGGATGTGAAGAAGAGTGTTGTCCATCGAGGACAACTTTTATACTACGATTGGAAAGAAAGGACTCAATAATCTTAAAGACGTTACCAGCTACACCATAAGAAGAAAGCTTATGGAGAAGACCAGCATGCCAAACTTTATCAAAAGCTTTAGAAATGTCAAGTGCGATAGCCTTAACCTCTCCACCTCTATCTAATGCACGGTAAAACCTATCGGTTATTACTGTTAGCACATCAGCTGTAGAACGAGAAGACCGAAATCCATATTGATGATCAGAAAGTAAGTTATTTGATTCAAGATGAGAGATTAAGTGTTTGTTGATTAAAGATTCAAAAACCTTGCTTATGACAGGAAGAAGACTAATGGGACGGTAGTTAGATGAATCAGATCGCTCTCCGGAATTTTTGAAAATAGGGATAACAGATGCTGCTTTCCAGCATGATGGAAAACAAGACTCTGATAAGCACTTGTTAAATAGTTTAGAAAGTATGGATGAAAGCTCCGGAGAACACCTCTGCAAAACTACAACAGGAATGTTGTCAGGACCACAAGCTGTTGAAGAGTCTAAGCAGGAAATTACTTTAGATACAGACCTATATTTATTTAAAATATTTGCGGTGGTCAAATTTTTTAAATAAAAGAAATAGCAACTACTTTTATATCTTATTTAAATCTTATTTTTAAATCTTATCCTCATTTAAATCAAATGTCAATTAAATGCCCATAACTCTCGCAAAAATATTTATATAAAATTAAAAACAGGTGTTTAAAAACATACAAAAACTATTTTAAACAACTGAATGTTATTTTAAAAGAACACAAAAAATTTATAATAACATCTTTTAAATCATATTAACTTATGTTTAATTTAAAACATTAAAAATTTTAAATTCTTCAAAGTTTCCTTCTAACAAAAATCAAATTTTAATCTTTCATACAAATGCGCAAACAGCTTTAGTATAATTTGTATAATTTATAATTTATAATGTTTAGTATAATTTAGTATAATTTATAATTTGTTTATTTGAAGATTGATGCTCATATTTTACAAACCTTTAGTAACTATTATTTTAACTTTGTTTTTATGTATAATTCTTGAATTAGCTGGTGTTTAAACAAACAATAAATTAAAAAATGTATGTTTTGACTGTTATTATTTTTGCAGCCATAAATTTATTGTTTTTTTTTTTCTTTTATAAATTCAGGAATTATCTTTTTCCGGATATTTCCGGAATTCCGGATATTTTTTAAACTTTTTATATTTTCCGGATAATTAGTTTCCGAAAATACAATTTATAAAATTTTTTCTGTTTATTACTATCAAATGAAACAGTAACAAGTATATATAAACAGTAAATTTGTTGTCCATAAATTACGGAACGTTATATTTAGTTAACAAACAAAGCCAAAAAGATTAAAAGATTTCCCTCGCAGAGTAAACCAAAAATTAATAAGCATTTTAATTAAAGTTTAATAAAAATCCCAGCGCAAAAGAGTGAATGATCTCCTACTTTTAAAATAAAATTAGCGATGCGTGTCAAAGTCTTCTTTTTAAAAAAAATTGTACATTTACATTTTTTAAATAGCTCTTTTAGCTATTAGCAAAGAGATTTCTTTTTTTATTGTTTTAAAACTTTTTTTAAGTAAATCACTTCGCTTAAGGACTGAAACTTCTCTCAGTTTATTTGTCGGTGGTTCAAAATTTACTGCATCATTATTTCGTTTTCTGTCCAGTCGTACCATTGCAAATCTCAATTCGTACACTTCTTGAAAATATCATTTTTTCGCATAATTTCTTATTAATTGGAGACTTTAAAAAGTTTTGACGATGGTATTTAAAAAGTTATGACGATGGTACAAAAGCTGTCAGAGAAATCAGTTTTTAATTTCCGTCAAATATGAGATATAATCGTTAAATTTAAACTCTTTAGAGATTAGTGAAATCTAATTCTAGAGTGCAGTGAAACAATGTATAGTTCGATCTAAGAATGAGAAATTTGGTATGACCTTCAACTAATAGAAACTTCTATTAATCTTACAGTTACTGTAATACCGTGGTGTAATATGGTCGTGCGGTACAACTTATTTTTGTAAAGGGTGAAAAAAACTTATTATTACTAAGATTAATTACTTTTTTAGTAATAAGTTATTACATACAAATAGGTGTTATATAATAAAACTATATTCTAAACTATAAGGATTTTATTCTATGTAATTATTTTAAAGAAATCTAAACATATGTACTTTGACTAAACGTCAAGTGAATCAAATTGCTTTTAAGTGCCATTATTAGGTTTTTAAAAACATCGCATTTTGAGGTACGTTTTCTTTTCAATTCAAAAAGCACGTGTCAAAATTAATTTTATTTTCTTTCAATTAAAAAAAAAAATCATATTTTAAATTTTGAATCACGTGAATAAGCACGTGAATCATTAATATTGCCTCACCTTTTGTTTATCATATTTAAAATAAATTTAAAATTTTTATTTAAACTTTATCTAACGAATGTTTAAACTTTTATAATTTTTGAACGTGGAGATTTTTTAATAAAAGAAGTCGTTGTACTAAAAATTAAGTTTAGAACATTTTAAGCACTGACTGGAAGAACTAATTGTAGAAAACTAACTGATTACAGAAAAATAATTCAATATCTTTTTACTTTTTATTTATTTATTTTCTTTTTTAACATATTTATTACTAAAGATTTCTTATTTTTTGTATTTTAGAAGTCTGGTGTTTTATTATTATTATTATTTCCTATCTTTTTACTGCGATTGATGTATGCTCCGAAAATAGTTAAAATAAAATCCATTTATATTTTCCAAAAGTTGGTGCTTTGCAGGTAATAAAATGTTTACTGAAAGAAGTTGGCAAGCTAAAGTGTCAGATATATGTTGGTTTATTTTGTAAAATTACTACAAAAAAACCAAAACGCTAAAATAAATAACGCCCATGGGATTTCGGTGAGCGAAAGATACTATGACTCAAAATGAGGTTTTGATTTTTCAAAAAATGAAGACCAGATATATTACTGAATTGGGGAGAAATGTAGGAGAGTGCTTCTACATTGACTAATTTAGGGATAACATGCGAGGGAATGCTGCTACATCGACTGAGGGTTTGGGTTAAGACAGGTATAGATCAATCGATGTAGCAGCACTCTCTTAGATTTCTCCTCAAATCAGTAATATATCTGGTCTTCGTTTTAAAAAAAAATCAAAACCTCATTTTGAGTCATAATATCTTTCGCTTACCTGGGATTTCAGTTATGGTGGCGCCTCTGATCTGTAACAATGCGTTAAACGTTTTTCTATTTGCATATCTTTGGTGAATTGAGGCAATATTTCATTATTCATTATGTATTTTAATGTATAAAAGCATGTCTAAAAAAGTTTCCACATTGTTTAACAGCTTTTAAATATAGTTTTCTACTTCTTCTTTAACTTCATCTTATTATTATTATTATTGTTAAAATTTTATTGTTATTATTATTATTTTTTGATGAAAAAAGTTATGTAGTTTTTTATTCATATATACG